GGATCTACTAGGTTATCTTCTGATGATATCCTCTTAACCACGAAGTGTCCTTCTTCTACTCGATGTCTAATAAAGTGATACTTTCTATCGATATGCCGGGATCTACCATGATATCTCGGTTCCTTAGTCAAGGCAACAGCTCCTTCATTATCACAGAAAATTTCCATAGGCTCCTTTATGGCAGGCACAACTCTAAGGTCACAAATGAAGTTCTTTAACCATATCGCCTCCTTTGACGCTTCGCTCGCTGCAATGTACTCTGATTCGCACGTTGAATCAGCTACAGTTTCCTGCTTGGAACTTTTCCAGGTCACTGCTCCTCCATTAAGGGTAAAGACCCAACCCGACTGCGAACGGTAGTTGTCTCTGTCGGTTTGGAAACTGGCGTCACTATACCCTCGCACCTTTAAGTCATCACTCCCTCCGAGGACTAAAAACCATTCCTTGGTCCTCCGAAGGTACTTAAGGATATTCTTGACTGCAATCCAATGAGCTCTACCAGGGTTCCCTTGATATCTACTGACCATGCTCAAAGCAAAGGCCACATCAGGGCGAGTACAAGTCATAGCATACATGATTGAGCCAACTGCAGAAGTGTAAGGTACTCGACTCATTTCAGCTATCTCGGCTTCGGTACTCAGACTTTGAGTCTTAGTCAATTTGGCATTACTTTGTATCGGTAATTCTCCCTTCTTCGAGTTTTCCATACTAAAACGTTTTAGTACCTTATCTAAGTAAGTATTCTGACTAAGTCCTATTAGTCTCTTACTTCGTTCTCTCACTATCCTTATTCCCAAAATATAGGAAGCCTCTCCGAGGTCCTTCATAGCGAAACACTTCCCGAGCCAGGACTTAACTTCCTGCAGATTCGGGATGTCGTTTCCATGAGTAGTATGTCATCGACATACAAAACGAGGAACTATACTCCCACTGGCTTTGACATATACACATGATTCATCTTCGCTTCGTACAAATCCAAACTCTTTGACTTTCTCATCAAAGCCAAGATTCCATCTGCGAGACGCTTGCTTAAGTCCATAAATGGACTTTTTAAGCTTGCACACTCTATTAGGATGCTTGGCATCGATAAAAACCCTCTGGCTGAGCTATGTAAACATCCTCAACCAACTTCCCATTAAGGAAAGCGGTCTTGACATCCATTTGCCATATCTTATAATCATGAAATGCAGGAATGGCTAGCATCACCCTTATAGACTTTATTTTTGCAACTGGTGAGAAGGTCTCATCATAGTCAACTCTCGGAGTTTGAGTAAAGCCCTTCGCAACCAATCGTGCCTTATACGTGTGTACATTCCCATCCACGTCGGTCTTCTTCTTGAAGATCCATTTGCACCCAACCGTCTTACGTCCGGGCACATTGTTAACCAAATTCCAAACTTGGTTGTCATACATGGACTGAATCTCGCTGTCCATCACCTCTTTCCATTTCACAGACTCTGGGCCTGCCATGGCTTCCTTATAGCTATTAAGTTCATATAAATTTATTAGTGTACCATCACTAATATACATGTCCCCTTCAGTAGTAATATGAAAACCATAAAACTGGGGTTGAACTCTAACTCTTTCGGAACGTCTAAGAGGTAAGGACTCGTCAATTGGTTCAACCGGAGTTTCCTCTTCGGGTTGAGCGCCAGCGGTAGAGGTTCCTTCATCGCTCGACTCTTGAATCTCTTCAAGATCGATCTGCCTCCCACTGTCTCATTGGCTTATGAGTTCTCGTTCTTGGAAAACCCTTCTCCTCGCAACGAAGACAACATTGTCACTCGGTCTATAGAAGAGATATCCAAAGGATCTATGCAGGTAGCTGATGAAAATACATCTCTCACTTCGAGGTTCGAGCTTGTCGTGAGTCTCTCGTCTTACGAAAACCTCATAGCCCTATACCTTGATATGTGCCAACAAGGGAGCTTTCTTTGTCCACATCTCGTGAGGTGTTTTGGCAACCTTCTTTGTAGAGACTCGGTTAAGGATATGGGCGACAGTCTCTAAGGCATACCCCCAGAATGAGATAGGTAGTGAAGCACGACTCATCATAGAACGAACCATGTCTAACAGGGTTCCACACCATTCAATTGCGGTGTCCTAGGTGGCATCAATTGCGAAACTATTCTGCATTCGTTGAGATAGTCGTGGAATTCAAGACTTAGGTACTCTCCTCCTCGATCGGATCGAAGCATCTTGATTTTCCTGCCCAATTTATTCTCCACTTCATGTTTGAACTCTTTGAAATTTTCAAACGTTTCTGACTTGTGCTTGATTAAGTAAATATACCCATATCTACTATAATCATCGGTGAAAGTCACGTAGAAGCGGTTCCCATCCTTTGTGGTGGATCTAAAGGGCCCACACACATCGGTGTGTATGAGATCCAATAAACCCTCACCCCTCTCACAAGTGCCAGTGAAGGGTGACTTGGTCATCTTTCCAAGTAAACAAGATTCGCACGTGTCATCTTCCCTAAGGTTGAATGACTCCAACACTCCATCCTTTTGGAGTTGGGCTATGCGCTTCTTGTTGACATGTCCATGACGACAATGTCACAAGGAAGCTTTATCCATACTATTGGAAGAATCCATACAGAACACATCATTTCCTAAGTTATCTACAACCATAACATTTTCATAAATTCCATTATAAGGCATAGCTTCAAAATATAAAACACCATTTAGATAAGCATAAATCGAACCATTCTCATTATTAAATGAATATCTAAATCCTTTTCTAAATAAACCATGAAAAGAAATGATGTTTCTTGCCATTTCAGGCGAGTATCAACAATTATTTAAATCTAAATTGAATCCATTACTAAGCACTAAAGAATACACTCCAATATTGGTGACAGGCGACGATCTTCTGTTTCCCATGATTAGATTTATTCTTCCAAGCTCCACATCCCTATTTCTTCCTAGTCCCTGCAAATCAGAACATATGTGATAACCACATCCTTTATCAAGAACACAAGAAATAATATGAGATGAATCATTAGATTTAATTGTGTAAATACCTGTGAAAGATGGCTTGATCTTCCCATCCTTGATGGCTTGCAGATATTCCGGGCAGCTTCTCTTCCAATGCCCTATTTTGTGTCAATGGTGGCACTCTGCCTCCTTTGAGTTTGGATTGGGCTTAGCAGGATCAACCTTGGTCCCACTAGAAGAGGAACCATCTTGGGACTTTCCCTTGCGGTGGCTCTTTGAAGAAGCCTTCCTCTTCTTGCCCCTCCCTTGCCCAATAGCCAAAACAGGAGCAGCGGATGGATTGGGAGTTGGTGCAACAGACTTGTCCTTGAGGTTGCTCTCAGCAATCCTTAGGAGTCCTTGGATTTTGCTTAGGGTGTCCTCTTCCTTGTTCATGTGGTAGGTCATCCTAAATTGGTTGTAGCATGAGGGCAAGGAGTGAAGAACAATGTCGATGGCCAAATCCTCCCCAAAATTAACATTTAAGTTGCGAATACGATCAACATATCTTTGCATCTTTTGCAAGTGTACGGTCAATGATTCTCCACTTCCCATCTTTGCGGTGATCATGTTCGTGATGATCTCATAGCGCTCTTGCCTCGCGCTTTAGTGGTACCTCTCCATTAAGTCTTGGTGCATTTCATACGGATACATGTCCTCATAGGACTTTTGGAATTCTTGGTTCATTGTGGCTATCATGATGCAATGGACTTTTGTTGCATCACGTTCGTGAGTCTCACAGACAGCCACACTACTAGAAAAACAGCCTTTTACGACGCTCATTGCGTGTCGTAAAAGGCTCAGACGACGCGCAAATGCGCGTCAAGGAAGGCCCTGTCATAAAGAGAGACGACGCGCTTTTGTGCGTTGTCTATAGACGACGCGCATTTACGACGCGCAGTTATGACACGCAATGCGTATCAAGGAAGGCCCTGTCATAAAGGAAGACGTTACGCATTTGCGTGTCGTAACCTTACGACGCGCGTGTTTATGACACGCAATGCGTATCAAGGAAGCCCCTGTCATAAAGAAAGACGACACACAGGCTTGCGTGTCATAATTTTAAATGTTTTTAAAATTATATATTTTTTTATAGATTTACTAATTTTCAAATTAAATTACACATTAAAAGTCTCATAATACAAAATAAAATACCACAAGCAATAAAGATAATTCATTGCACTAATATGTCAAATACAAATAATCATTCCAATAGCAAGTAAATGTAACACATTGCTAATATTGCATAATATTTATTATAGGAAACAAAGCATGTACAACATTAAAAGAAACCCATGACTAAATTCTCCTTTGACAAGAAGCACAGAGGAATGTTGGAACAGCAAGAAGCACATTGTTGCGAGCTGCCTGCAGAAAACCATGGCAGACATAAAGACATGAGCATGAGCTTTGTTGCTACTTTTATAAAAACTGAAGTTATTCTATAGGTTATAAGATATAGTATAAATTTTTAACTTTTAAGCCTTCTATATCTATAGAATATAATTTGGAATCATTAAGAATACAATGAGGACTTTGTTGTTGGAAGAAGCCTAACCATTGCATAACATGTTGACTCAAAAAGGAAAATGTGGCAACTTTACCTGTACAAAGCTGGAGACAGAAAGAAGTGGCTTCTCTCCAATCTTCTGATTTCTAGCCTGAAAATTAACAAAGAATTTAGCAACTTGTAAGGAATCCTAGTACGACACTAAGTTAAGAACTTAAAAATTTAATTAAGATAACATGCAAATAATGAGAGCAGAATACCTAATAACGAAAATACACTTGTGTGCAAAACAAGAGCATAATCAACCTAATTTATCATGTCATCGAGATAAGACTAGACAAAAGAACTAACGAAAGTACCCTTCTATGCAAAACAAGAGCAGAATTAACCTAATTTGTCACGTGTCACGGAGATAAAACTAGAGAGAAGAAATGACGAAAATAGCCTCAGAGCCCACATGAAAAGAAAAGGCATAGCAGAGAGGTTGGAAATCTGACCTTACAAAGAGAAGCCCTGCAGTAAGAACCAATCCTCCAACAAGCCATGAAACTTGTTCATTAATGGTTGTTGGAAGAGTTGTAAGAAGTTCTGAAACAAATGGCTCATTAGGTTTGGGAATCACAATTGAATTAAAGAATGTATAAAAATTAAAGAACTCGCGTAATAGAAAAGTAGGGTTCACATGTCAGATTGATGTTAAAGAAGATTAGGTTTCACATGTCTGAATGTTGCTTCTATATATGAATAACTGAAGCAGAAGATGTGTCACGGGTACCTCCTTCGCCTCTCGCCAGTCTTCTCGGATTCACACACATACAATTCACTTCTTCACCTCCTTTACTTGTGTGTGAGGTCTGAAGGAACAATGAGAATGTCTGGAACCTTTACAACATTCCTGTAAGTAATCTGCACCAAGTAGTGGGAGAAAAGGTTTGAATTGGATACACAGTTATTTTGAATTATATACAAGTTTCATTCTATCATATGAAGTATGAATAATATGAAAAATAGGAAAAGGAAGTTCAAAATCCTAACCAAAAATCCTACATATAATATTATGTCCTCCTGGTGCTTGTCCTCTTGACAACACAACTCCTATCTTCACGGCAGATCCTGATTCATTAGATTCACTTGGCACCAATATTGGTGATGGTTGCCCAAACAGGGATGGGAAAAGTTTTGCAATTTCATCTGAAAGCATTACAACAAGCACAAATGAAGTCATAATCCTTCATCTTTACACTCAATCTATGCAGGTGATCAGATGTGTTTTCCAATTCTTTTATTTGATTTTGGATTATAAAAAACAAATCTCCAATTTGTTTTAGTACTGGTTCGTTTTTACAGGGGTTTCACTAGGTCTTTATGGTAAGCAGTTAACTTTAAAACTCAAAATGCAAAATTCGATCATAAAACCTAATTAACATCTACATACAACGTAATCAATTAACATAGCTAGAAAATACTTAAATTTTTGTTTATCCAATGCAACAGTGACTGAATTAGAAAGATTATTATCATCCATCATTAAAAAAGCTCCGATCAGTTGTGATCTTAGCATAAATAGTTTTGCTTTTACAGGGATCGTAAATTCACTTCAGTATCAATATGAAGTGAGAAATACCTGGATTTCTAGCAGCGGAGCTAGCGGGACCATCGACGATTTTGAAGGGGCTTCTGGAGCAAGCGACAAGTCCACAGGAGTGGGTACAGAGGATAAAAGTTGTTGTCACAAACGTAAAAATATTAAATTAAGAAAAAAGAAAAAAGAAAAATATTACTTGAATTTTGAAAACATGTCTGCGTTGACTCAGCAGATGGAATAAATCATCATAAGTCCTGTTTAAAGCTTCTTTCTTGATCTCGGGGTGCTCCGAATCAATGAAAGGCCCTAACTATTAATGAGTTAAATACAATGATTGTTAGTTTAGAGTGGTTTTGATTTTTGAACAGTTACATGGTTAAAATTGTAAATTCTCACCAGTATAAGCAACTGATGTCAGTCGTGGTGTAAGGGCCTGAAGCAATAATTTGCTCAAAGATGAGATGTACAGAATCAAAGAGAAACCAGATAGTAAACTTAAAGGGGTACTTTAGTAAAATGAAGAACAAGCTTTACACACCAATGATAAATTTGATGTTATATCAGATAAATTAACAGGCTTGTTATCTTCATCCACAACTTTTGAGGAATATTTTCATCATCAGGGACTGATAACGGTACATAATCAACAATTTTTGTTGCAATTAAATAGTGCCCACTTGGATTATGTCCTTCAATACCTACCACTGTCGAATTATGTTTATCTTAAATGTTTTTTTTTTGGTCAGTTTCCATTTTTTTTTAACTATCTACATGGCCTGGGAAAAGGGAAAACCAGTCCAGTTTCTGTAGGTCAAGGCACACACGTTGACCTCCAGAATGCTCAACACTGTTCAAACAAGTAACAAAGGACAACAGTAAGGGCAAAGATGTCTGAAAAGACCATAAAGATTCAACAAATATTACCTGCTTTGAAGCATGATTGGTTTTTCCTTTAAACGCATCTGACATTGATTCAGTCTGCACAAAAGAAAAAAAATAGTATTTAGTTCCATAAACAAACAGTTAAATATACATCAAATCCAATGTGGTAGAGAAAATAAAGAGGAGATGAAAGGACAAGTGAAGTGGTAGAGAAAATAAAGTTGTGAAGTGGTAGTTAAGTTTTTTTTATGAGATGGAATTCATATTTGAAATGACCTAATTACGAAAATGCCCTTAGGATTTAAGTTTTTTTGAAGAGATGGAATTCGTATTTGTTATGTGAGTAGTAACTTACTTCCGATGAAACACCGTGGGTCCCGTATTTGTCATCCCAATACATGGTGCTGATTTTGTATAGTTGTTGTATGTTAAGCACCTGCATAAATGGCAAAAATGCACAATCTTGAATATAATAAAAGAGAAAAACGGAAATAAAATATTAACTGTCAAAATTCTAACTAAGCAGCCTCCTTTTATAACATGAATCTAAGCAGCCTCCTTTTATAACAACTAGAAAAACGTCTTCCTAAATACTAACTGTTAAAATAACTCTGAGATGCTTGGATCCAAGAAATTGTTATCTGGTTCCAAATCAGCTGATTGTCTTCAAGGAACTGATAAATAAAGAGGAGGAAGATGAATTTACCACAACCTGAGAAGTTCAATAGTTACTCCCATCCAGCATGTAATATACCTATAATAATATACATGTAATAAGTAAATAGATACACAACAACATTAATAAAACTTAATTTTGGCTTTATAGAAATCAACTTCAAATGAAGAATGATATGCTTATGTAATGAGGTTGAAGTGATATTATGGACAAGCCTTGAAAATTTTCATATAATTCATGTTTCATGGTTATTTGGTTACATGTTCCATTGAATTTGGAATGAATAACAAATGTTATAAAAAGATGGAAAACCCAAATTCTCTCGGCCAAATAAATTAATTATGATAAACTTAAAAATTATGTTAAGGATGTAATACCTTGGTATACCTAAGAATGATGTGGTGTAAGGGTATTTATCATCAACTTCATTTGTACGGTTGTAAACAACATCCATGATTACCTGTACAGTTGAAATTCCCACATAATCTACAAAAAGTACTTACAACACTAATGACCTAATTAAATATATAATCAAGCTTCATTACAAGAAAAGTCAAAAACCTCGATTCCTGCAAGGTGCAAATCTTTAACCATTTCCTTGAACTCCAAACAAGCATTGATACGTCCACCACCACTCGCATAACAGTATACCCCACCTTGATGAACACTGAATAAAACTAAAATAATCATCTTACCCTTATTCCAAAACACAAATTTCTGATAACATAAATGCTACAATAATCGATTATCTGATTAGTGGGACTCGAGAGGGGATGAAAACAACCGGTTATCGAAAGATTAATCGACCATCAGTGCTCATTGAATTGTCGACGACGTTCCATTCTGCCGAGTGCCGACTATCATCTCCTTTGCATTTGGGGCCTGATTCATGAATGGAGTATTAAAAAAAATGGGCCCTTAACATAGGCCCATCTTCCCATGTTTATGAATGGCCTTGTTCATACTAGAACCGCAGGAATAACATAGCCAAAGAAAGCACACCACTTTATCAGTCAAAATCGTGTGTTTTAAGAGACGAAAACGTACCGAATTCAAACTTGGTGGTAGGGTTTGCGAACAAGATCGAGTTGCCGGAGATTCTCCAAGGAATTTCAAACAGGAATAACACAACCAAAGAAAGCACACCACTTCCGGAATTTCATGAGATCGAATGTCAAAGTTCTTGAGCACTTTTGTGGAAATAAATAAGAAAAATTCATACTAATTCATATAAAAATGGTGAAAGCTGAAAAATGATGAGTTCATAAACCTGAATAAAAATGATCGACGACGTATGGTGTTTTCAGGGCCCCACCCACCTATTCATCCTCTCCGAATAAGAGCTGAACCCGAAATCCACTTTCACTCAACCTGAAATCGGCTCCTTCAAAGGCATCGGTGGGAGGTACATGTTTGCCCTAGATACTGAACTCCCACCGGATTTCTTCCCGGACTTCTTGTTCTTCCGTGCGTCGACTTTCTTCTCTGTGCCACTCCGATAACACAGACCTACCTGCGAGAGTCGGTCCACGAAAATTTCAGTCTCGGGTGATTTGGAGGTGGGACCATCGGTAGAGGAAGAATCATCGAGTATTGCTTTCATTTTGAAGGAGAAGGTTAGGGGCAGCGGTGCGTGGGATCTGAGTGGGGTCAGAGAGCTGCAAATGGTGATGATGGATGAAGTGTTGGTCGATATGGCCGGTACATCGTCGTTGTGCGGGCCTGAAGAGTCGGTGTGGGTTGGAGGTAGTGGAGGTGGGTGAGGGGCGGAGACGAAGGAGAGAAGATATTAGAGAAGAGATCGAAACGAATGTAGAAGAAGAGAGCGGGGTCTAAAATTTTTGGGGATTTCTAAAATTTTTGGGGATTTCATTTTCCCTCTAAAGGAGAGACACGCGTTTCCTTAAAAAATATAAAACGACATTCATAGTCGACGCACATTTTAGATAAAGTGCCCTCCGTGTTGTTAGTTTTTTTACATGAGACACTAATTTAAGGGCACGCAATAATGCGTGACCTAAATCCTTAAATTTTTTGAAGAGATTACACTTTTTTAATGTCACTCTCTTTTGCGTAACATAAATCAATGAGCGTCGTGGTTTGCACGTCGTAAAAGGGTCTTTTTCTTGTAGTGCCATTTCTTCGGGACTAGTGATTTCTGGGTTGACCTTCTCGAGCTTTTCTTCGAGGACATACTCTTTGTCCTCTTAGCGCGCAATCGTGCGAATGTATCTTATCCATTCGCTAAAGTTCGATCCATCGAAAGTCACTTTCTGACAAAGACTCATTAGCGTGAATGAGTTAGCAGCAGCGTTGTTCGCGTTCGACATCTACAAATAGAAAGGACAAAGTTTGATTAGAATTGAATCCCTAATTAAACACCCAAAAATGAAAAATTAGGGCTAGGACACAACAACATTATTTACATATTAGAAAAGGGATTTCGTAATCCAACACGCAAATAATTTGGAGGTAAGTGAATGACGATTCACTAATTCTTCACCATGAAAAACATAAACCACTCAAGCCATTCATACAACATATAAGGATGCCATGGAAACCTTCGAAGATCTTACACCTAGTGCCACTGGAACCCCCACGTGGTCTTAACTACCTGCCATGGGAACCCCCAAATGGTCGTCCTGTCGTGGGAACCCCCACACAGTCTTTACTACCAAGAAATAACATACAAGCCACACATGCAAATATACTAGGATGCCATGGAAACCCTCCAAGGTATTACACATAAGTGCCTCGGGAATCCCCCCGAGGTATTTCATGCGAGTATCACAATTAACTAGCATACCACATATCCCATAACCAACTAGTCACACCGCAAAACAATAATAGGTCGGACTTGGTGCCTTAGACCCATTGGTATGGTGAGGAGACTCACCTTCTCAAAATGTCGAACTAATAAGATAAGATCAGATAAGTCCCAACGCACAACTCCAACTCAACTGCCTATAACCATCATGTGATTAACTTGTCAAAATCCTGAAATACAGTAAATACCCTCTAGGTCAAACTTAGTCAACCCTGGTCAAAGTCCAAGTCAATAGTCAAGGTCAACAATCCATGTTGACCCCAACTTGTCGAGTGCATCTATCAACTTGACGAGTTCCTTCAGAGTCTAGAAAACCGGGATAAACCCTACCCAACTCATCAAGTTGTCTCATCAACTCGGCGAGTTCACTAAATATCCAGAAGGCGGGGAAACCTGATCCAACTCGTCGAGTCGTCAGGGCAACTCGTCGAGTTTCCCCTATCTTAACGCATTCACTCCTTTCCACTCGAATCTAAAGCTCCATACAACAGATCCTTAATCATAGAGATGTCTATAAGGGTAAAGTTTCCAACTTTACCCCCAAAGACCATCTAATATGCCTTAGACTCAAACCCTAGCACCTTTGAGGAAGGTCTTAACTCTTTAAGCCTTTAAACTCTCATCCCATCAACCTAAAACACAGATATGAAGTCCAAGGGTGGAAAAATCACATAAAGTTTCTAACTTTATGTCCATGCATGCGTGAAATACTCTCCAAGATCCATTTTAGCCTTCATTGTGGACATAATGCATGAATGGGACATGGAGGCTATTAAAGTTTTCAACTTTAATCCTCTAGAGGTCTTATAGAGGCCAGATCTACACTCCTAACCTCTGGAAACCTCTTATCTTGGAACATCCAACCCAAAGTCCCAAAACAAGGCCTAAACTACCAAAAGACAAGATCTAAGCAAATCAAGGTCAAGGTAGCGACTTTATACCTCAAGATGGTTGCCAATACAGAGTAGATGTCGGATCTACTTCTCATCTCTCTACTCCACCTTCTTCAAGATTTTAAATACTTCACAACCACACTAAAATCACTCACCAAAGCTCTCTTACACACTCAAGGAGGTATAAGGCTCGAGCTAGGGTTTCTCTGGGCTGTAAGGACGATGAGAGAGGATACAAATGAACCATAAGTTCTTTAAATAGGGTATAAATCCCTGAAAATTAGGGTTTTCCTTTACAACATCTACTCGTCGAGTAGATCCTAAGTCCCACGTCCAAAAATGATTTCTACTCAACGAGTTGGAGCTCCTTAACTCGTCGAGTTCCAGCCTAAAACCCTAAAATTTTTAGAAATAATTAATACATGGAACAAGCATTACAAATCTCCCCCACTTGAACTAGACTTTGTCCTTGAATTCTGCTGACGCAAACAAATTCGGATAGTGATCTCGCATCTCCTCTTCTGGCTCCCATGTCCATTCAAAGCCTCTTCGGTGCTGCCATTGCATCTTCGCTAATTTCACCTCCTTGTTCCGAAGTAGCCTTCCTATCCAAAATCAAATCGGGCCTCTCAATGTAGTTCAGGATCTCGTCCACCTGAATGTCATCCAGAGAAACAACTGCAACCTCGTCTATGACACACTTTCAAAGTTGGAATATGTGGAAGGTGTCGTGTATCTGGCTAATCTCGTCCGACAGATCCAAGCGACATGCCACCTTTTGCACCCGGGCAGTAATCCTGAATGGTCCAATATATCGGGTCCCTAGCTTGCCCCTCTTCCGGAACCTAATGACACCCTTCCATGGTGACACTTACAGCAAGACGAAATCCGCCACCTGAAACTCAAGATCCGATCAACGCCGGTCATCATAGGTTTTCTGACGGCTCTGTGCAACTCGTAGCCTATCACGCACCTGTTGAATCAACTCGGTGGTCTTGAGCACCACATCGATGCTCCCCATGACTCGGTGCCCTACCTCACCCCAACAAACAAGGGTCCTACACATCCGACCATACAACATCTCGAATGGTGGTCGGTCGATACTAGCATGATAATTATTGTTATATGAAAACTCCGCTAGTGGGAGGTATGTATCCCAAATCCTTCCAAAATCCAAAACGCATGCCCGAAGCATATCCTTGAGTGTCTGGATCATCCTTTCACTCTGGTCATCTGTGGGGGTTGTTTGTCGTGCTGAAATGTAACTGCGTTCCTAGTTCCTCATGGAACTTCTTCCAGAATCTAGGTGTAAATCAAACATCTCTATCAAAGACTACCGACATCTAGTCACCACCTTTGGTTAAATACTTTTTGTCTCTGCCAAATTTTCGCATTGGATCTATGTTAAATATAAATTAAAATTTTTGCCATGAAACTAAAACATGATATTCATAGCGATTATGTATAAGACAATATAAATAAAATAATAGATTTTGCATCCAATGACAACAATGCGTTAAATATCTCGTTAAGAGTCATCTTTCTTCAATATTTATATACCGCTTTTTTCACAAATATCTTCTAATAAAATATATAATTATATATTATAGTTTCAAAAAAATATGAAATGTGTATATTTTATTGAAGTAACCAACGACATGAAAATCAGTATATCAGTTGGGATAATATATTTAATAAATACATATTTTTCATATCTTAATACGAAGATGCCCTATCTAAAAAATCAAGTAATTTGTTGTGAGATCCAAATGAGTTGGCGTAACATTAACTTACCAAAAATGTTCATTTCAAGATGATAGTTAACTTAGATGACATTTATTAGAGTAAAATATTCTCAAAGAAAAACCATGTCAAAATTTAATACTAGAATTGTTAGAGTTTGTAACTCTAAAATTACATTAGAAAGCCAAAGCCCCACGACCAATGATTGGCTAAAAATTAGCTATATAGACTAGTTTATTTTCTATATCAACTTAAAATCATGGTGATATTTTTTTTTAAACACTAATCACCAATCTAATATGGGAAGTGATACGTACACAACAGTTTTTTGTCATACACAACAGTTCATGCATTATATAATCGTACAATACAACATTTTAAAGCACCAATTGTTGTGTATTGAAAAAAATTGTTGTGTACGAATCAGCTCCCATCTAATATATCTAAGCTAATCATGCATATTACAAAAGAACCATTAGTTACAATGTTTTCCGACTTTTTTATTCTCTCTCTCTCTCTCTCTATATATATATATATATATATATATATATATATATATATATACACACTAGTTTATAACCCGTGATAACCACGATTATAAAAGTAGTTAAATTTTCGTATTAAAAAAATCAAAATCATTAATAAATTATTTTAAATAAATTATTACTTAACAGATATTTTTTTTAGTTATATAAAATTATAATCGTTGATTTAAATAAATATATGGAGTTATATCATTTTATAATTTATATTAATTTTATTTTAGTTTTTAATCTAATGTTATTAATTTAATATAATTAAAATGAGAAATTTTAAATTTTGAAATTTAAAATGAAGAATGAATTATTAATTTAATAAAATTAGAGTGAAAAATTTTAAATTTAAAATTTGAAATGAATAATTAATAGGTGGACAAGTCGCATGATAAATGATATATAACATTAATGAGAGTTTTAATTGCATGACACTTGTCTATGAGATTAAACATATATTTTTTATTAGAATAGGGATATATATATATACACACACACACACACACACACACACACACACAAACACAAGTAGGTTCATATGTAAACATAAATATTTTGCGAAAACACGGAAATATATTTTATTTTACTAAAATCAAACACATGTACT